CATTGGCTGCGGTTCGCTGCTCCAGGCCAATGGGAGCTGCTGGAAGCGGCACAGGCCGAGGGACTTACTGGCCACCGCTTCCAGCAGCTCCCATTGGCCTGCAGCGGCAAACTGCAGCCAGTGGGAGCTGCGATCAACCGGACTTGCGGACGGGGCAGGTAAACAGAACGGCCCAGCCCGCCAGGGGCTTTCCCTACACAAGTAGCGACCCCAGTTTGAGAAACACTGTGCTAGAAGGTGCAGTCTTTTGCATGGAAAATAAAACTAACTATCAAGAGTGGTCAAGACCTCAATGACCTCATGGCATGTTTTGCAAGAACAGGGATGTTAGCCCTAGTGCCCTTGGTAATTGTATTCTTCTTAAAATTCTGCCTCCCAGTAGTTTCATTTGAACTATTTATTTCTATGTCCTAAACTGTAGTGTGATATAGTCAGTACGCTTTTGAACTCCCCCAGAGGTGGTTGAATGTGGCCTGTGAAGTGATTCCTATATGTATATGGTTCAGAAATAAATTTGCCTGTAAAGTCCTATGGAATCTGTATAAATGAATCTTTATTGGTGACCAAAATGAAAGCTCTTCACACAAACCATTCTCAATGTAAAATTGAAAACTATGTTTTACTTGTAATTAATTTCAGGACTTCTAGAAATCTTCACAGTCACCAGCATGAGGCCCCCATGACAAGGAAGCACTTTCAGGTCACTGGATACGGAATAGTAAGAATAATTCTTCTTCCGCTTGACGGAGGTTCATCCCAAGACAAAAGATTTACTCTTACTTTTAGTTTTTTGTCTCTTAGCCAGTTTCTTATCCATGAGAACACTTACAATGCATGAAAGTACATGGGAGGTTATAATGGAAGTTGGAGCTCATTACACAGGTTAATATATGATGTATGTCGGTGTGTAAGAATTAGAATAGCACATATTAAGATCTTTCCAAAATGTGCACATAGAAAGAAACAGCTTTAAACTATCACCACAACCCTAACTTTGTCAGCACCAGACTCTTTAAATTTTAACTTTAAAGCTGCACGGACAGGTATTATTTTCTGTACACCGGCTTGTGATATAGACAAATGGCTTCTGGGGTCTAAACTGAGCAGTGCTCTGACTTTTGTAAATGAAATCTGCTTTGAGTCTTAAATGCCCAGAGGCAAGAGACTACTCAATAAACCCACTATGCTGCCCAGCCAAACCATCCAGTTAAAAATCCCTTTAAAATGTAACTTCATATCTTGAGAGCCACATATGAAGTTGAGGCAAAGAATTTTGGAATTGGTGAGGAAAATATGTAGGTAGATAGTAAGCATGGCTACATCATGCATTGCTGGTGTCTATAAAATTATCTTCCTGCTGGGGAATCCAGCAGGTTAACCCAAGTTAAGCTGGGTCTGATCCACTCAGTTTTGTCAACACTGTAAAGTTTCAGAAGCTCCTGTTTTCTGTCTCTTGTTCTCCAGTGACACGTGCTTTTGGTTTTTTTTTTGGTGGTGTGTTTGAACGATAGAATGGAACAGGAGATGCCAACGATTTTTGGCGGATTGAGGTGGTGGGCAGGAAGGCTGGGAAACGCATTAAAGTCCTACGGAGTCAGATCCGACTGACCCATCTGGCCACAGGATGCATACTTGGGTCCTCTGGGAAGACGCTGCCAAAATGGTAAATAATCTCTGAGCCTCGCTTGTGATGCTTCCTGCCAAAAGTCTCATGCTAGCAGCTGATGTTCCTTTTCTTACACAATTGACACCAGATCCCCTTGTTCAGTGGCACTTTTTAATCTGGACCGGAGAATACAGACCTTTATATTTTTCCTCTATTCTTAAAAGGAAAGGGGTGTCTGAAAAGTAGAAAATCAGAGTGAAATCTTGGATGAGGGTTATGAAATCTACTACAGTGAAGGGGCTAGCAAATGGCACTTCTGGAGAATAAAGTCCTTAACCAAGAGGTCCATCCCAGACATCAGCATGGGGGTGTGCTTCAGCCCTGTTCAAGGGGGGCTAGTGTCAGGCATGAGTGATGAGTTCTTTTTCCATAAACCAGTCAATCCTTGGCCTTTGCAAGAAAAAAAATTTGCCAGCATGGGAGACCGTTGTACTGAGAATGGTTGCAACATAGACCCTTGGAAACTGCAACTCTTACATCACCAGCTCATTTAGCTGTAGGAGCCACCAGTGACCTAAAGGTTGTCCCATTCCACAATCCTCTGAACTATCCAAATCCCTTGCTGTTATATTTATATCGGTTCCTATTCATTTTTTAATGGAAAGACCTGGACCACAAGAGTGTCCCACACCCTTCTCTCCTATGTATGAGCACAGATCTGGAGTATGAGAGCAGATGCAACAAGTGGCTCTGGAAGAGGAAAGGTTTTTATTTGTTCCAGGTCTCTGTAAGTGCACATGCACACTGATAGTGCTCTCACTGATGGTCGGTGATTGAATAGCCTGAGGCATTACAGTCAAGACTGTTCCTGTAGGCCCAGTCTCCTGGGAGGTAGCATGTGGAATAAGGCTGATATAAAAAAAGGATTCCAGAGTTTGAACTCATTGTCTCAGAATGGACTGATTGCCTCTGGCATCAGTATTCAAATAAAAAGGAAATATTTTTTTACACAACACAAACTTAGCATGTGGAGCTAATTGTCACAACATTAAAGCCAACTGCAACTGCATAGCAAAAATACAACATTAAGACAACATTAAAGCCAACTGCATAGCAGAAAGTTTAGACATTTGTATGGATTATGGGACCATCAGCAATTAAGTTGCGATTTTTTTAAATTGCAAGGGATGTAAAGCTCATGCTTCAGGAAGTAAGCCACCTGTAACAGTGAGGATAGGAAGAAACTTCTCCTGTAGGTAGGGTGACCAGATGTTGCGTTTTTAAAGGGACAGTCCAGTATTTAAGCCTTCCTGCAAGTGTCCCAATTGTTTTTTAAAAACGGAAAATTGTCCCATATTTTCTGCCCCTCCCTTCCCCCATCAGTCCTGGTGGGTCCTGCTGCTGGCCGGATCCCTGCTTGCCAGCCACTTGCTCACCAGTGGTGGGAGGGATGGTGGGCTGGTCAAGTGGCTGACGGTGGGGGTGGGGGTGCAAGGCTGGTGGCGGGGCAAAGATGCAGCATGCAGGGCTGGCTGCTGGTCCTTCAGCACAGCCCCTGCTGCATGCTGGCTCTTAGCCAGCAGGGCCCCGCTCTCTGTCCCGTTTCTGGCTGGCACTGGCTATATGCTGCGAGCTGCAGTGGTTGGTGAGTGTGGGTAGGCGCCAGGCGGCAGCCGGTTACATGTCGCCTCTGCTGCCCACCCATTGGCCCTTTAAATGCTTCTCCTCTTGCTGTCCTCTCCCTGCTTTTCCCCTTCACCCCCAACCCTGCTGCTCTTCCATGTCCCTCCCAGCGGGGCACTGTGCAGAGAACCAGCCCCTGGTTGGAGTGCTCAGCTCATCAACAGCCTGGCCAGCAGGCTTCTTCCTTCCCCCGCTGCCTCTGGCTGGGCTGGCGCCCCGGGAAACCTCAAGACCCTCTGTTCTGAGGCGCTGGCCAAGAGAAGCTGAGCCCTGCATGTGCCAAAGCCCCGCACAGCGCTGGCACCAGGAAGCCTCTCCGCCCCTCAGCTAAGCTCTGGAGTGGCAGAGGGGAAGCGATTTCCAGCCTGTTCGTGCCCCGACCCTGCAGGCGCCACAGCAGCTCCCGGGGCAAGGGCTTAGCACCCTCTTCGCCTGCTCCCCCCCCCGGGTCCTGCCCCCAGGGAATGTGGGGCTGCTTCATCCCCTAGGCACCTTCCTCTGCTGAGCCACCTCTCTGGAGGAGTTTGCTAAAGTCCCTGCAGTTCGGTTCCCTGGGCCCTGGTGCACAATGCATCCTTAGGTCTTAACCCTTTCCTGCCTGCGCTGTAGTCAGGGGATAGGAGGCAGCTGGGTTATGTCGGTGGCCAGCAGCAGTCTGGAGATGTTAGCTGCCTTTTGACACTGTGCTGGCAGGAAGGGACAAGCTACTTCCAGCCACACAGGAGCGGTAGGGGTGGGGGAAGAGATGAGCTCTGCAAAGACACAGGCCAGGTCATCCCTTCCTCCCCCTTCCTCCTCCCCTGTGGCTGGAAGCAGCTGGTGTCCCTTCCCTCCCACACAGTGCCGAAAGGCTGCTGCTGGCCACATTCTGGTGTGAACCTTGGCAGAAATCTGGGGAGAGGGCGCATGTGACCCTGCATGCCCCTGACATGTTGCTTTGGGAAGACATGGTGCCAGGTACCAGGAGAACGGGTCTTTCCTGGTGCCTCAGCCAGGCCTGGAGGGTGGAGAGCACCAGGCAGGGAGGGTCTGGTCGGTCGGTCACCCTCCCTGTGTGAGAGAAGTGTATGGGAGTGTGTGTGTTACCCCTCCCAGTGTGTGTGCGTGGGGGTGTGGGCAGTGTGTGACACCTCTCCCCGTGTGAACTCTAAAGCCTTAAAGATATGAAAGTAAATAAAAAGAATCCAACTACGCAGTATTTCTTTTTAATGGGCTCAGTCAACTTGATGTTAATTTGAACATTTATACAATTGATTGCTGTTGAACTCGCTTGAATACGAGTAATTTTACCAGGTGTCCCGTATTCAGCATAAGGAAATATGGTCACTCTACCTATAGGGAGGTTGTTCTGTAGTTTCCCACCCTACCTATAGGGAGGTTGTTCTGTAGTTTCCCACTTAAGGGTCTCATATTTTTCTGAGCATCTAGTACTGGCTGTTTTGGAGACAGTATAATTGACTAAATGAACGATTGGTCTGATCCATTATGGCAATTCCTTTGTTTCTATAATGGAGTTGCTCTAGGTATGAATTGACTTTTAAAGTAATGGTGACTGCTTTTCCTGGGGAGAATCTAAAAGTTGACTTGAAGTTGATGGGAGCTACAGATACTCAGCTCCTCTGAAAATTAAGCCACATACTTATGTACCTAAATATGGATTTTGGTACCTAATTTGAGGAACCCCAATATGGAAGTGTTGCTCTTCATATATACAGCAGTCTTGTGACCTTAGACACTTTTCAAATCCAGTCCAGTTTCTGTTTATACTCTGTTAAGGGAGGACTTCTGGGTACACAGAAATGAATCTGTTAGGTTGGATGCTGCAGTTGGTGCTAATTGATAGCTGAACTTGGGCAAGGAATGTCAATTTGAATGAAAAATTGAATTGTAAATAGTGGTTCTCCTTCGGGAGGTAGGTGATTGACTGTCCTCCTGTTCCTCAGGGGCTGGGAACAGGTGGAAGTCACCTGCACTCCATATGTGAAGGAGACTCCCAATGCCCTTTGGAATGTTGAAGATCACATCAATCCCAAGCGTAAGTGATGAAATCTCTTGGACAATATGCAGGTTGGCTTGTTTGTTTTCAAGGGGGGAGAGTGAGGTTATCAAGAGGTCAGAGCAAAGCACTCAATGTTTGGGATCCCTGGGTTCTGTTCCCAGCTCTGGTACTGACCTGTTGCATGATCTTGGGCCAGTCACTCTGCCTCCATTTCTGTATTGTAAAATGGGGGGATGGTGAGATATGATGTTTATAAACCACTTTGAGATCCTCAGGACCTGCAGAAGGGTGAAGTATTATAGAAGAGCTGATCACAACTTGATAGTTAAAGTTGTAAGTTATAATATATGGAGATATACCTATCTCATAGAGCTGGAAGGGACCTTGAAAGGTCATCGAGTCCAGCCCCCTGCCTTCACTAGCAGGACCAAGTACTGATTTTGCCCCAAATCCCCGAGTGGCCCTCTCAAGGATTGAACTCACAACCCTAAGTTTAGCAGGCCAATGCTCAAACCACTGAGCTATCCCTCCCCCAACTATGTTCACTATGAGACTTATTTTAAGCCCCCCTTACAGCTTTTTAATTGAAGGAGCTATTCTGAATGCAAGTGTATAGTAGAAGTTTTTAAATGATTTTTCGGAAGTGTAGGATCTTCACTGCCCTATTCCATACTTGCCTCATTCTCTTTTCCAGGAACATTCCAATAATGAGGTTGCTAGAATTGTGACATGGGGTAAGAATAGAGTTGAGAATGCCAGTTGTGACATACAGCCCCTCCAGCACAATCCAAAAGTTAGACCTGTGTCACAGCCTTATTCACTGTCTGCTTGGTTTACGTGTTACTCAACACCCTGATTTTTATCACACAACTTGCTTGATTCTGACCTCGTTAAAACCTGCTAACATTTTGCAGCCTTTCAGAAGTACTATATTTCAACCCAAGAGAAATAAATTCTGAGCTGTTCATTTGGTCTGGAGTCTTCTCCCATTGTCATACATTTTGCATTCTCCCGTTCATGGCTGATCTGTGGATAAAGAATAGTCTATGAACAGTGAGGCTCTTATTTCTGCTTAAACACAGAGACTGTTTATTTCAGGGAGTTTTATCTGTTTCTCACGCTTCTGAAAGTACAGTGGGAAATCAAAGAGTAGATCAGTTGTGAAATTCACTTGGGGATACTTTCTTGACTGCAAGAGGTTGTGTTTAGAATATGAATGAAATGCAGTGAGAACCAAGGAGGTACCAGAAGGTTACTCTCAGATTTGATACAGGAAGAGAGGGTTTATCATGTGTGTATGTATTAAGGGAAGGTAGCATGTACAGGCTTCTAATTCACCTGTTTTCTTTTCCATAGTGCCTAATATCAGTCTGGATGTTCTGAAACCCTCCTTCCCAGAGATTCTCCTGGAGTCCCACATGGTTATGATCCGGGTAGGGTGGCTTTATTTTAGATTGTCATGTGTGTGTTTGTTTTTTAACTCTTGAGCTAAAAAGAAACATTCTGTACTATGATGTCCAGGGAATAGCAGCAGTCAAGATAGGACAGAATATATATTGGCATAGGTTACAAGGATTTATACTTAGAGAAGAAGGATGGCCTTATGGTTGAAGTTCTAAAATTGTACTTGGAAGATCTAGGTTCAGTTCCTGGCTGTTCCATAGACTTTGTGTGACCTTGGGCAAGTCACTTAATCTCTCTGTGTCTTATGTTCTCTTCTGTAAGACAGGGATATTCGTACTTCCCTACCTCACGGGACGGCTGTAAAGATAAGTTCATTAATGCTCATGAGGCACTCAGTGCAGTGATGGGGGCCATAAAAGTATGTGGCTAAACACTTGGGGATACATTAACATCTGATGGAAAAAATTAAAAAGACAAAAATCCATTGTTTCAAAAACTCTTCCATGTTCTGTTTTCTGCTTTTCTCTTCACTCATTCTTTGTCACTGAGGATGTTTGCAAAAAAGCAGATTTGTTTCTCTTCAGAGTTTGACTGCTCTTGTAGTCTTCTCACCTGAGACAGTTTTGTATGACCTTGTCTCTTTTCCTTTCTGTGCCTTAGTTTCTCCATCTGTAAAATGGGGACGATACTGACCTTACAAAAGATTCTGAGGCTGTGTTGTTTGTAAAGCTCTTTTGAAATGAAAGGGGCTCTAGGAATGCTCAGTAACATTATTCATACTAATCATTTCCATGGCAACCAGTTATAATATTGCTTTAGGTAAGGAAATATCAACGTAACTGTTTCCATAGAAATAATTTTCTTGTCTTGAAATGAGGACTCTTATTTCAGACTGAAGGAAAACCTATAGCAGTAGCTGAGCTGTTAAATAGCTACGATCCCGCTTCTTCCATACACATTCTCAGCAATAAAGAACCGGAGAAGAAAAATGTAGAGAATACTTGGTCTTGGTAGTAAACTGGGAAATATTCACATTTGTGTAGTAATTTTAAGCTATGAGTGTACTCTAGGATGCAGCTACTAGAGGGTGACATGATCATGCTCTTTGATGGACACTCCATCTAGCAAAAAGCATTGATGATGATGACCAACATTCACTGGGGGAGCACATGTGTATATATTCACGCACAAATCTATGTACACAAAGTATTGGGTGGCATTGGGAGAAACGCCTATAGTTAAGCGACGCTTTCTATTATAAGACTTTTTTTCAGTTGGCAAACTTTAACTGAAATTTTCCATGCCAGCTGTCTGCCTTAGGTGGAATTTTACTGAAAGATTTCAGCAAAAGTAATTCAGGCATTTCTCAGAGGTTTGAGGAAAAAAATACTAGTTTTTCCCATATTGCCAAAAAACAACAACCCAAACACCCACTCTTAAAACCATTTAATTGAGAAGCAAATATTGTTTCCATCACTTGAAGCAGCGACTTGAAATTTAGTAGGGGGTTTGTTGTCCTGGTGTCCAGGATATGTCTGTTGCTGTCCCCATGAAAATAACATCATGGGGAGATGGCCTGAGCAGGACTTTCCCTGCAGTTGCTCCTCCTGGTTGCCAGGGGCTGCTGTGGCACTAGATATCAGTACTGAGAGCAGATAGACTCTTTCTCGTGTGTTCTCAGTGCTCTCCCTGCTGGCGCCCAGCTGACCCAGGCAACAGGGAGGAGAAAATAACCTGACTGATCTGCAGATGGGTGATGATCCAGGCCTGTGGGGGGTTGTGGGGAGGGAGACTGAGACAGGAGTTCAGGGAATAGCAGGAAGACTAGGGTGAACAGCAGTGGGATGATAGGAACTGGGATGAGCAGCTGTGAGCTGTGGGGTGAGGTTATGAGACATGGAGCTGAGGGGAGGCAGAGCAGGGGGAATGGAATGGGTCAAAGCAGGCAGTGGGGAGACTGAGATGAGGACAGACTGGAGGGGTCAGAGGCAGAAGGGGTTAGGCATGGCAGGAGCAGATACAAAATGGTTCTTAACCACTAGAGTCCACTCCCCTCAGATCCTGGAATGGAACCCAGGGTTCCTGAGTCTCAGTATTCCTCTGCTGCCAGCAATAGCTGTAAACCCACTGGCAAAATGTGTGACTCCACTCCCTCTAGTGGCCAGCCTCAGGGACAGGAGTCCTGTGGAAAAAATATTATGGGATCATGTAATTAAAGACATTATTGTAACGCATATGCACAAGAGGGCTGAATTAAGGTTACATAGGCAACCTTAATTCTGTCATTTCCTAACTTTTGAGTGCTTGCCTGTGTACTATTCTCTTGCTGTAGTTTTCTATGTGTACTTCTTTTATAGAAACTATGAAAGGAGAATTGTTTGAAAACTGATTAAATACTTTGGACCAAATTTTCAAATCACAGCCTCTGATACTCCATGTCCAGGTTTTCATTTCCGAGGTTCTGTACGCTTGGCTGTGTGCATGCAGTTTAGGGCATTAAATAGCCATTTTGCTGGTACAAATAATCAGGCATGGTAAGTTGCTTGCATACTTTTAGAGGATGCAGACTCTGAATCTAATCCTTTATTTACCATCAGGTGTTAGCTGCTTCACAGGTCACTGCTTCATGTAAATCTTGGGCCAGGTTTAGTGCTGGCAGTTACTGTGAAGCTCCTTGCCCAGCTCCTTCTCTCTCTAGATGATATAGAGCCTAGTGCTTGGTTTATATCTGGAGTTTAGTGGAAAGGTCTCAGATTCAAACCAGTATACTTTACCTGCGTTCTGAAGATGGTGGGCTTACTTCCTGATGTTTAACAGCCTTAGAGCCTTGTTGTCTTTCCAGTGTCTGTACAATTGGTGCAATTAGAGGGAGAGGCTTCCAGATACACAGCAATATATATGGAATGGGGACCTAAACTTGGTCTCTGATTGTGATCTGCGGGTCAGCCTGGCATCTATCTATCTTACTGGTGCATGAAGCAGTCCCCAGGAAATTTTTTGCCATCACTGCATGCTGCTGTAATGAGAGAACAGAGTAAGGAAAGGGATGTGACTTACAATAAAGTGAAATAGTTGTGGGGATTTCCAGGAGCTAATCTCCTGCAAAGTAATGGGGTAGTAGGAGCACTAGCAAAGCCTGACGTTGAAATCTAGGTGCTCCTGAAAGGGCTTAACCGTCCTAGGGCATTTGCTTCTGCACACCTGTGAACATATCAGAAACAGGGTTATTCTTCCTATGCCCCTGAAATCCTTCCTAGACAGAGAGCTACCCTGCAGGACTTGCAGCACAACCGCCTATTGACTGTAATTTTCTTCTCAACCTCCTATAGGGAAACAGTGGCCTCAAACCAAAGGAGAATGAAGTCACATCCAAGCCTTGGCACTGGCCCATCAACTACCAGGTATGCTGACAAATCCACCTTCCTGTCTGATTGCAAGTGCTTTTGATAGGGGTATGGCATCCAAACTGTAGAGCTGTGGGGCTGCATCTCTTTATTAAAATGCATGACTACATTTCAGCCGCTGCTGAAATAACCTTTTTGTTGGCAAGAGAAGGAACTTATCTCACCTTTCTCACTGCTCACTCTCTGTGGAAGCCTCAGTAAGTTTGAAGGTTGATGTGGGCTCACTAGGCACAAACCTATTTTAATTTCCTCTGATACCCTTTCCCTGTTCCTCCTCAGGGCCTGCGTTTCTCTGGAGTCAACGAAACAGATTATCGAGTTTATTTGCTGGGGAACCCGGTAAGTGGGGGATTTGCAAAACAAGTGACTTCTGCCTTTAGCAAATATTTAGTTTTCTCCTGGCTTTCTCTTCTCTAGCTGCTTTCTTCCCCTTCTCTTCTGTGGTTTCATTTAGCTTTCCATCATGTCTTATGCACACTCTGCTACTTCTATCTCCTCCTTTCCTCTTTCCCACACAGGTGGTCTGGTGGCTGAATCTGGTCACTATTGGATTGTACCTCCTAATGGCAACTTGTGCTATTGTGGCCATGAAGAGGGGAGTTCAGCTGACAGCTGAATTCAAAGGTAAGTCCAGCTCTCCTACCCTATTGCATTTGTAGGCTTCACTGTTGTGACAGTTTATCATCCTGCTTTTCTGCTGCAGGAAAGCAGATTCTCTCTCTGCTCTGGAACATCAGACCACTCAGAAATTGAACAAAATGTGTTCAAGAGGAACATGACAGCAATGAGTACAAGTATTTAAAATGTATAGTGCTATAGAAATGCTAAATCTTATACCTGGAAGGATGTAAATGCCAAGGAAAGGGAGAGGAATTAACAGTATTTTCAGGCTGTAAAGGACCATTATGAAAATCTTTTCTGACCTGCATAACACAGGGTACAGATTTCACTTGGATATCTCATCTAGCCCAACAAATTTAAATTGAATTAAAGCATATATTTTAGAAAGACATCAGTCTTGATTTAAAGTCTGTTTTTAAGAATTGTTCATATAAGCCCAAGGGGTTGTAACTAAGAAGAGTGGGATGAAATTAAAAACCAGGTAAATTTAGGTAAAATATCCAGAAAATCATCCTGACACTGAGATATACAAAACTATGGAACAGTCTTTCCAGGAAAAATGCAGGAAGCCCCATTCCTCAACTCATATAAAACTGGACTGGACAATGCTCTAGTAAAAATCCTGTAGGGAGCAATCCTACATTTGCTCAAAGGGGGATGGTCTATTGGATCCCTCTCTGGTTCGTGACTGTGTGATATGTCCTGTATTAATATTACACATCTGTCTTGAAAGGAGAAATGCTAGCTAGTGCCCATTAGGGAGCTGACAGAGAGAGGGTACTAGGAGGAGGATATTAACAGCCCTTTCTCCTTCCTTAGCCTCTTCCATCCACAGGTTACAAAGCACTTCACAAACCCTAAGGAATCCAGTCTCACAATATCCCTCTGACATAGATCAGTGTTTCACCTATTTTACAGATAATTGGGTAGGAAATGAGGTACAGAAAGGTGAAGTGATTTTTAGCTAAGGTCACTGAGGTTACATCTACATGGTGATAAAAGACCCGTGGCAGGCATAGATCAGCTCATGGGTTATAAAATTGCAATGTAAACCTCCTGGAGCCCAGGTTCTGACACTCTGAGTGAGGAGGGTCTCAGAGCCCAAGATCCGGCCTGAGCCCAAATGTCTACACTGCAATTTTTAGCCCTACAGCCTGAGTCCTGAAAGCCCAAGTCAGCTGGCCTGGGCTCGGAGACTCGGTACTTCACGTTTTTTATCGCAGTGTAGACACACCTGTGACGGGTTGGATCACAGAACCCCCCTTGGGAGCTGCCACCAGATGTGCAAAGACTACCCCTGCGTCTGT